GCCAAGAAAAATATGAAACGGTGTCATATTTGCCTCACCTGCAAATGTCCAAAGATTGCACAACCAGATTACAAAATTAGACATGTCAGAGTGGCAAAATTAGCATACTGATCATTAAGAAAAAAAATGTATCTTATCAGCCTTCAAAAACCCATGGGAATATCAGGCAGAGAAGCTGTCAGAAAATGGGGAAGTGAAGCTCTTGTGGGATTTCTGGATCCAAACACAGTCACCTTGAACATAACACACCAGACATAGAAGTAATAGAACAAAGAAATGTCTGGATAATTGATAGTACAATTCCAGGAGATGCCAGAGTTGAAAATAAAGAACTGGAAAAACTAACAAAATACAGAGATCTGGCCATTGAAATATCTCACTTGTGGATGAAACACACTTCAGTGGTTCCCCTAGTCGTGGGGGCTTTGGGAACAATATCAAGAAATTTCACACAGTATTATAAGCAGTTGCAGATGTAAGAAATAACAATAACAGATGTAAGCCGCCTAGAGTGGTCTATTGACCAGATAGGCGGGATATAAATAAAATAAATAAATAAATAAATCAACAGAGCTACAAAAAATGGCAATATTAGGAACAGCGTACTCATACTTAGGTTTTTGGTCAAAACATATATCTGTTAAATAATACCAATCAAAAATTGTGTCTTGTATTTATGGATAATTATTATACAGTAGTGCCCCGCATAGCGTGAAAACACTGCAAATGGCCATTTTTGGAACCGCCGATCAGCTGTTTTTAAAACATGGCTATGCAAAAATCGGTAAGTGAAACACTTACCGATCATCGCAAAGCGATTTTTGCCATTAAAAAGATCGCAATGCGATTGCTTTTGCGATCACAAAAAAATCGCTATGCGGATTCTTCGTTAAATGGGGCACTCGTTAAGCGAGGTACCACTGTAATTATTATAATAACATGCCATCTAGTTGTTTCAGAGTTTGGTGGCCTTCATAGGTTGTTATTATTGTTGTTCTTTTAGGTCTAAGTTACTCAAAAGTGGTTTATCCCTCCCTCCCTTTACAACCTTCACACAAGTGGCAGGGCACATAACCCATCCATCAGCCACACATAAATTAGCATGTGCAGTCTGAGGTGAATCTGTGTCATCTTTTGGAGAGCCATGTCCTTCTCTGGGCGGTTTGGGACATGCTTCCAAACAAGCGTGCAACGGTTTTTAGCCTCTGGGTAGTGTGGGCGGCATATAAATTTGGTTTTTAGCCTAAATTCCCCTTGTGTGTGTGTGTCACTGCACTTTCCGAGCAAGATATTTGACATTGAGGATTGATTACAGTGTCTTATCACTGAAGCCCTAAGGTTATTCTATGAGTACAGTATATAACATTTTGAATTGTTACTGGATTGACATGAATTTTAGATGTCCCATTTTTGATTTATTTAAGCATTTTATTTAAAAAAAACAAACAGACAAGGTTGCTGTCAGAGCAATTAGGTAGTTACTTTGATGAGTTAAGGATTTAAAGCCAATAAAGTATGGGGGTAAGAAAGAGAATAGACTAGAAACTTTGCTTTGACAATACTTTGATGAAAATCATTCTGCTAGGATTTGTGTGTGTGCATGGACGCGTGCGCCTCTGTGTGTTTTGGTCCAACAACTTGTTCCTAAAAACTATTCCAAAATGTAGTGTGCCGTAGCACTTCAGAACGCTCAAGATATTAAAATATAGCAGTAATTTGTACAGATCTCAGAGCAGGAATGCTGTTCTGATATTATTAGGATCAGAATTATTGCCACAACTCTTGATTTTTATTACGTTTCCCGGGGCTACAGGTTGAGTTTACTCCATACTAGATTTGTGTCTGGCTCTACTTGTACGCTTTTACTGCTTATTTATATAAGGTTGTTTTGACGTCAGGTGGGCAGAGTAGTTCAAAGAAGGGGACGAATTATATCTAGATGTATTCTCGAAGGCTTTCACAGCCAGGATCTGATGGTTGTTATGGGTTTTTCGGGCTCTTTGGCCGTATTCTGAAGGATGTTTTTCCTAACATTTCACCAGTCTCTGTGGCTGGCATCTTCAGAGGACTGGAGTCAGAACTTTGTCTGTGTTCTGGTGTAGTGTGTGGGAGAGATGAGAACACAGAAAGAGTTCTGACTCCTGTCCTCTGAAGACGCCGGCCAGAGAGACTGGCGAAACGTTAGGAAGAACAACCTTCAGAACACGGCCAGCTTTCTGACTCCTGGCCTCTGAAGACGCCGGACAGAGAGACTGGCAAGAAATGAGGAAGAACAACCCTCAGAACACGGCCAAAGAGCCCAGAAAACCCACAACAACCAAATCTAGGTGTCTTTCATTCCCTGAACCCACAGATCATGCCACTGCTCACCTGCATTCCTTGCTGAACGGGGCGACTACATCCCATGGTTTACAACTCCTCAGGTGACAAAGTGCCAGAATGCCTACGTTGAAGGTCCAAGACCTAACGGCGTTTTCATGTGAACCTCGCCCTGCTCTCCCAAGTCGGTTGGATCTTTCTGAGGTCTGAATTAGTTCAGGTCCTAACAGCGTTTTCATGTGAACCTCGCCCTGCTCTTCAATGTCGGTTGGATCTTTCTGAGGTCTGAATTAAGGCTCTAGTCCTGTGTGAACTTTAAGATGGTGGGGGAAGTGACTCTGAGGAATGAAAATGTTCTGTCCTCAAGCATAAGGGTTTCAAAACCTCTGTTGGAAACCCTGGAAGGGGCTACAGTTAATCTGGGCAGCTAATTGTGAGCTGAAGTGAAGCAAGACTCTGCCCTGGAACATACCAGGCTGTCTCCTACATCAGGGCCATTTGTCCAGTCTTTCGATTGTGATGGCGGCTGTCTGCTGTTTAAGGCAGGATCTCTCCCCCCACCCCCAGCCCTACCTGAAGACCCCTGCCTGGGATGATCTGGAAGCATCCAAAAATCCGAAGCAGCCCGGCCCACCTCCGTTTCCAAAATCAGCCAAGGTGGGTATGTGAAGGGTTACCAGGGAGGGTGGGCTGCTACGCTTGTACTGTGCATTTGCACAGAATGGGAGCAGAAGGTGGGTTTTTTGCACAAGGAAAAGGGCATTAAGGGAAGGAAGTCCATGCAGTGCCATTCACATGATCACACTGGGAAACACTGGGAACTTGCGACTTCCCAGCCATGGCAGAAATGGAAAATCCCTGGGGTGCTGTTCTGGTATGAACAGCCAGCCTGCTGATGGTCCCTGCTCCCCCGTGCTTTTCTACAAAGCTTAGAGCTGTACTTAGGGCAGGGCAACCAGGGTTTGACTCATGAGGCCGAAATTTAGAAGATGTAAACATTTGTAGCTGGAGGTGTGCAAACCCACCCATTGGTGCTTGGTGTTGGAAGGGTGCAAACCCACTAATGCGTACCATGTATACCATCTCCAAATGTTGTTCCCCGGGGCATCAAGAAACACCTAACATGCCTCTGACCTTCTCTCTATATATGTCACTCTCACATCACTTGACACAGGCACGAAGTGCTTTGTCATGCTTCAGCCGAATTTGCATGCATAGCACCACAGGAGGCACATGTTCCTTCCCCCTCTCCCTCCCGCCCCCTGGCCGACTGCCCCACTCACAAGCCCATGTGCTCTAGCCAGGTCATCCTCCTGCTGTCCAGTCCAGGTGGGAGCCTGGGCTTCCCTTCCCCACCTCCTCCAGCAGCCAACCAATCAATGGGTGTGCAGCAAGGATCCCCGCCCTGCCTCCTTGTTGGAGTGGTTGGCTGCCAGAGGAGGTGGGGCAGTGGAGGGCAGTGGAGGCCCAGGCACCCAAATTGCTATGCAGGGCTCTGGCAAAGATGGAGGACCTTGCCAGCCCGGGTTTCACTGCTTGATTGTGGAACAGATTCCAAAGAAGCTAGAAGCCCTCCCCATGAGCTGTGCTGGCCAGGATTTCTGGGAGTTGTAGCCCAAGAACATCAGGAGACCCACAGCTGGGAACTAGTGCCCTAGAATACTGCTGCACTTTTTGACTCGTTGACCAGAATGCAAGTGGTTCTTTATGCTGGTGTAAGTGCAAAGGCATAAGTCAGTGACCAACGGCTGCCAGTGGATCATCACTTGTATCCCCGTTGTGAGTTGGTGCACAATGAAGAAGCGGTAGTTCTGTAATCAGCAGCAATTCAGTAGCAACTCACGGCTCAAATTTATGTCAGTGCATTTTTTGTGGTGGTTGTTACTGTAGCGAGCTATGTTATAAAGTGGCCTTCGACCCTAGAGCAACCCTATGGACAGGATCTCCAAAATTTCCTATCCTTAACAGCCTTGAACCGCAATCCCAAAGTCAAGGCTCTGGCTCCATGTATACCAATAGGATTCAGGCCCCCATCTTGGTGTTTTAGAGCTCCTGTAGCAGTACTAACTGATGGAATTATGTTATTTCCCCCACCCACCCTGTTTCTCTTGACTCCTAGCAATAAGACCACAATTTTAATATCCTTAAAATGGTACAAACAAGAAATAGGTTAGACATAATGGTTGTAAACCCAAAAATATGCTTCGGGGAACACTGGGGGGGTTTTGTTGCCAGGCTGAGAGTAGAGATGGGCACCAAATTGGGCACGAACGGCCAATTTGGCAGTTCGCGCTGGTTCGTTCATTGGCCAAACAGGCGTCTGGCACTTCCTGCTCTGAGGTTAGTACCTGGAGGAGGCAGAGTAGGGAAGCCTGGCAGCTGCTTCCAAATGGGTGCCCACCAGGAAGTGCTGAACACCTGTTGGGCCAAAAAAATGAACCGGCACGTAACAGCGAACCAGCGTTTGTGCCCATCTCTAATCAAAAGGGTGGGTTGTGGAATATAAAAGATCGAGAACCCCTATCATAGCATCTTCCTACGATCCTCTTTTACGACTGAACCTCTCCTTCCAAAATGCAGTCACTGCAGCAAGCAATCAAAAACCAGGAGGATAGAAAGTCACCTAAAAGATTAAACACATTTTCAAAATGGAAATATTTTATTTTAAAAATAAACGTACATATTCACATGCAAGTCACACACACACAAACACACAGTGGTATATTAAAAACTTTAGGACGAGGATTTGATGTCCAAATGTTGCCGATAGCTACATTATTTCCAGCTGTTCCCACTCTTTCTCTTGCCGCCTACGGTTTTGTGGGCTGGGACGTGGAGGCAGGACTCACAGCGTATCTGCTCCAGATGAGCCCGAACTCCCATGGAAAGAACTGAAGCTCTGAATCTCGTCGTCTATATCAGCAGATGGTACCTTGACAGGCGCGGGAAGGGAGCGTAAATGGGGCTTGGCTTCTCCCCCTGAAACAGAGAGAATACTTAATGATTCGCAGCCCAACCCAAATAAATATAATATGCACTAAAACCACAAGCTGATTTCATCATTTTCATGTGGGAAATGGGCCACAGGGCCTCATGCGTCCGGGGTTAAGACACCATCAGAATATTTTACAGAGACACACTGTTGATCCACATTTTCTTGGGCGTGTACTTCGATGTCGGTCAGCCACCCACTGACAAAACGATCATACCAGATGGCGCGTGTCTGCAAATTTCTTCCCAAATCCAAAAATAGACATTAAGTATTAGGTTATTCAAGCTAACCAGGTTGATTCCAAGCATCCATAACAATGCACATATCCAAAAACCACAACATCTTCTTAACATGGGCTCCATCACTGTAGCAGCCACGTATGCAACGATCAGATCTACAGAAAGGGATGGGAACTTGAGTCTCGGGAATTGTTGTCCAGTTGCTCGGATGACTCCTCTCCGACCTGACTCTGAGTTTTTTCCCCCCATTGACTCAGATTCAACTCACGATTTAGAATCTACCCACCCTTCCCATTTTTTGGGGGGGGGGGGAGCTTGTTTTTAATAGGGACTTGGTACTTGGTACCAAAGACTTGGACTTGGGACTTGAACCAGACTTGCCCGCATGCAGGCTTACAGGCACACTGCCCCTTCAAAATGTAGTTTCCAGTTCTACTCTGGGAGCTAGAAACAAACTCAAATAGCACATCTGCTTGGATGTTAACAGGAAGCTATGATCTCCTTGAACAACGAAGAGAGGGAGGGAACCGAGGCATGCAATGAGAGGAAGTGAAGGAAGCATAGGAACACAAACCTCAAAGATAGTGGTTAAACCAGGACTCATCATCACATGGAAGCTATTCTCTTCTAAAGTCATTCATACAGTACATTCATACAGTAAGATTCATAGGATCGAATCCACGCGACAGAGGGAGCTCCCATCGCTCATCCCAGCTCCTGCCAACCTAGCAGTTCGAAAGCATGTAAATGTGAGTAGATAAATATGTACCCCACGGTGGGAAGGTCACGGCGTTCCGTGTCTAGTCGTGCTGATCACATAACTGCTGAAACTGTCTACGGACAAACTCTGGCTCTACGGCTCTGAGACGGGGATGAACACCGCGCCCTAGAGTCAGACACTACTGGACTAAATGTCAAAGGAACCTTAGAGTAAGTGTAGCAACACTGCATTTAAAGCAATCAGTAAGAGGGCAGAGACAGACATCCAGCTGGGGGGGGCGCCTTGGTTTTCTGCTAAAATGTAGAATGCTCATTAGCTCACTTCCCCTTGCTTCTAGAAACAGTTTGTTCCAGCTACCACAGTGCCTCCCGCCTGACCGTTCAGTATTTATGTATTATTTCACAGACTCATAGAGTTGGCAGGGGCTTGTAAGGCCATGGAGTCCAACCCCCTGCTCAAGACAGGAATCCAAATAAAAGCAAATCCGACAGATTATTGTCCAATTTTCTCTTGAAAATGCTTCCCGCATCACAGCGCTCACCACCTTCTGAGGTCATGGGTTCCATTGTCACACTGCTCTGATAGTTAAGAAATATTTCCTGATAATTCAGCTGAAATCGGATTTCCTGTAACCTGAGCCCATTATTACGAGTCCTGCACTCTGGGGTGATTGAGAACAGATCCTGGCCCTCCTCCGTATGACTACCTTTCAAGTATTTGAAAAGTTTGTATATTGCCCCTCAGCTGCAGATACACTACGGGCCTCTGCAGTCTAGTTTCACCCTGGATGGATAAAACCTAAGTTTTTTTTCTTTTATCTTGCCACAAACATCTTGAGTCCTTACTCCTAATTCATTCACACTACTCATTCCATTTGTACTCCACCTTCCTCCCAGTAACGGGACGCAAGGTATGGTTGTTGTGGGTTTTTTGGGGTGTTTGGCCGTGTTCTGGAGGTTTTTCTTCCTAACGTTTCGCCAGTCTCTGTGGCCAGCATCTTCAGAGGACAGGAGCTAGAATTCTGTCTTCGAGAACACATTGGACTCAAGGCAGCTTAAGGTAAAGGTTCCCCTTGACATTGAGTCCAGTCGTGTCTGACTCTATGGGGCAGTGCTAATCCTCATCTCCAAGTCACAGAGCCAGCGTTTGTCCATAAACAGTTCCCGTGGTCACATGGCCAGTGTGACTAGACACAGAACGCCATTACCTTCCCACTGAGGTGGTACCTATTTATCGACTCACATTTTTACATGCTTTCGAACGGCTAGGTTGGCAGGAGCTGGGACAAGCAACGGGAGCTCACTCAGTTGCGTGGATTCGACCTTACGACTGCTTGGTCTTCCAAACTTTCAGCACAGAGGCTTCTGCAGTTTAATCCACAACGCCACCATGCAAGGCAGCTTACAAATACTTTAAAGACTACAATTCAAAGCCATAAGCTCACATTGCTGCACTCTTGCTAATGTAGTTGCCACAAACATCTACAAATGTAAACTAAAGCTACCAGAAGTAATCCAGGAGGCAGTTACTTCTATGCAGAGATATTCCGTAACAGGCCACAGCCCTTGTCTGTACGTAGCTCACAAAGTAAGACTGAACGTGAGAAAAGTGAAGACTTGCAACCATGTTCTGCCATGAACTCAAAGTCTCTGTACAGTGGTGCCTCGCATAGCGATCACTCTGTTTAGCGATGAAATCGCTTTGCAATGCATTTTTTACGATTGCAAAAGCAATCGCTTTGCGATGTTCCCTATGGGGGAATTTCGCTTTGCGATGATCGGTTCCCTGCTTTGGGAACCGAGCATCGCAAAGTGACGATTTCAAAATGGCTGCCGGGTAAACAAAATGGCCACCCCGCTGTTTTCTGGGACGGATTCCTCGCTCTACAGCCACTGAAAATGGCTGCGCTATGGAGGATCTTCACTGAACGGTGAGTTTTAAGCCCACAGGAACGCATTAATCAGGTTTTAATGCGTTTCTATGTGCTTTTTTATTTCGCATTGCAACGTTTTCATTCTGCAGCGATTTTTGCGGAACGGATTAACGTCGCAATGCGAGGCACCACTGTATTATTATTAAAGCATGCTAAATTAATAAACTTCCTTTTCTCATGGACATTCACAGGAACGAACATTTCCTCTTCAATTCCAATGGGATATTTACCAACGCTTTCCTCTTTTCTCTGCTTACCTACTGTGACTACGCAGTAGTAGCTCAGATTCATGCGGTCTGTTCCATAATGTGCTTCGGAGACTGCTAGTCAGCCAATCAGCCCTGGAACACGTGGCTTTGCGAGGTCTACCGTTGTACACAAGAGACCAGTGCCTTTTTTTCGAAATAAACCAGGAATGGACACCTGGCTTTTTTCATTCTTGTCTCCCCTTCATCTGGCTGGTCCAGGCTGCACCTCTGCAAGGTCTACCTACCCCTAAAGACTCTTTCTTTAGAGACGGGCGAAATGTTAGGAAGAACAACCTTCAGAACATGGCCAAACAGCCCAAAAAACCCACAACAACCACTCTTTCTTTAGATGGCAAGAGTGACAGCAGAGAAACTCTCCCTTACTACTTAGACTTTCAGAATCACAACAACCACTCTTTCTTTAGATGGCGAGAGTGACAGCAGAGAGAACTCTCCCTTACTACTTAGACTTTCAGAAAATATTCCAAGGAAAGCTGAACTCGTTTCCACTTGAGATCAATTTTCTATGTTTAGTTAAGACTCTAGGAAGTAGCTGGGAGGGGGTGCCTTTGACATTGTGCTCTTCAGAGCCACAAAGGGGGCTCAATGGACTTGGTCAGCAGTGACCTGTATGGCTTGACACCTTAGAAAATGCCCCAACATCATCTGCGATCTGCAGCGATTCTCCGACAGATGTGGCCGCTTTGTGGCAGAGAAAGGATCTTTGAAAACTTCCAGGAAGAAGGGAAATTAGAAAGCTGTTGGCTTAAAAATGACACACTAAAACAGTATTACCTTACAATTTACTGGCTGGCACTTTCAAAGCATTATAATTAGATTTCTGCAATAACACACTCTGCTCCATGACATCACTGTTTCATCAGGTGTTTCCAGGTTGACTCAGAGGTTCACGGGAATCGTGTCCCCACCTGTGGCGTTGGAATCCAAGGGGGTGAAAGCCCACGCAGATTCGTTAACAAGCTCTATGATACACACTTTGCAAGACTAACCGGACCAATTTCCTTCTAGAAACAACACGCTGGGAAAAGGCAAATTAGAAAGCAGCGGGTTCATCGGCGTTAAGTAGTCTGCTGTTTTATTACTCACACACCCATCTTATAACTGTTCATTTAAAATAGATCTCCCATTCCTGCCTTTAATCCATGTGTTTCCTTCGGTGGACATTCATTCTCAAGAGATTCGGGTTAATGACTACCTAATCCAGAGGCAAAAGGCCACTGTACACTAAAAGCCCTGTAACTCAACTCCCAGTTGCTTTTATCTGGCTTGTATTAATTGCACTTTTATCTGGCATGTGCTAATCCAGCATGCGCAAGCTAAGTACTCTACTCTACAACCCCCTGCAAGCTCATTTTTTCGTTCTGTCACTGAGTGCATAGACATCTGCTTGGGAAAGCACAAGAACATTAAAAGGTCCCCCTTGACGTTGAGTCCAGTCGTGTCCGACTCTAGGGCGCAGCGCTCATCCCCGTCTCCAAGCCGTAGAGCCAGCGTTTGTCCGTAGACAGTTTCCATGGTCACGTGGCCAACGCGACTAGGCACGGAACACCGTGACCTTCCCACCGTGGGGGTACCTATTTATCTACAGTGGTGTCTCGCATAACGGGCGCCTCATAGAGCGATGAATTCGCTCTACGAGGCCGTTTTTGCGATCGCAAAACGGTGCCCGTATTTACAACGGCAGCACAGAGGCTTCTGCAGTTTAACCCACAGCACCATCACAAGAACATCAAGTCTAGTGCAATAAAGGGATATTGCATTGGACAGCTTGGTGGTTGAGGTCTCTGGCTGCAGAGACAGAGGTTAAGGATTCAATTCCCCGCTGTGCCTCCTTGACAGGGGCTGGACTTGATGATCCATAGGGTCCCTTCCGGCTCTGGAATTCACAGGATATTATTAAGCTATTATTATTCTATGAGTATTGTAGGGCAAAGCACAAAAAAACCAGGGCCAACTCCTTCCTGGTCCTCTCCTGCTGGAGATTGGACTGCACCATGGCTGGTCTTGACCTTGGATGGGGGCTGCCTTCAAAGGGGGCTCTGTGGTTGCATCCAAAGAGTTCTCGAAGAAGCCCGCATCCCATGGACTTAAAAAAAAGATGGACATCATTTGCTCCAAGTGCACTTCAGCGAGATGGAAACAAAAGAGCAACCTCGTGCAAACTGTAGCCTGAAGTTCTCACCTTGATCCCACCTTAATAGGTAACACTGTCATGGTGCTCCATTGGCCCCGGGAAGCGCCAAAGAGGCAGCTGATAGCAGGCAGCTTTCGGAAAGTGATTTCTGAAGGTAGGGTGGAAAATTTGGGACTCTCCTCTTCCCTAAAAGGGAATGTGAGTTAGGGACAGTTTGGCATCTGCCAAAAAGGCCACGTGACGGCTTAATTTTTAAACCCAGTTTTGGAGCCCCTTTGCTTCCTTTTAATCCGGTCCTGCCTAACTGATTCAGGCTCTTCTACAGAACTTCTCAAGATGCGCATAAAAATGAGAAAAACCCTGGGAAGCTGATTCCTTTAAAAAACATAAAATCTAAGAAAGGTTGCACGGGGGCTGGAGTGAGCGTTAGTTTGCAATGAAAAGAGGAATCCTAAGTGCCAGATTCTACCCGACTCCCTCAAACTGGATCCTTCCCTCCCACATTCGCTGGGAAATCTAAAACATTAGTGACTGTTTAAAAACACCTGAGAAGACTGAGAAGAGCCTTTTCTTACTGATTACTCCTCAAGTTACGTTTCTGGATATGCCCCAACCCCACGCATATGGAAAGAGGGAAGGAGAAAAATCCAAGGCACAGGTTTTACTAGTTTGCAACTCGCTCCAAAAATAAAATTGCTAGACTCTATTGAAAGGACACCTGGAACAACATTTCCAGTACGGTCTTCGCCTTACATTAAGAGCAGGGTTGACACAAGTGGCTTGTCCCTTGCACTGCCAGATACTGGCTGCTTTTCTTTACTGGATGCAAAACTTCACCTCAAGATGCGCATAAAAATGAGAAAACCCTGGGAAGCTGATTCCTTTGAAAAACATAAAATCTAAGAAAGGTTGCATGGGGGCTGGAGTGAGTGTTAGTTTACAATGAAAAGAGGAATCCTAAGTGCCAGATTCTACCCGACTCCCTCAAACTGGATCCTTCCCTCCCACATTCGCTGGGAAATCTAAAACATTAGTGACTGTTTAAAAACACCTGAGAAGACTGAGAAGAGCCTTTTCTTACTGATTACTCCTCAAGTTACGTTTCTGGATATGCCCCAACCCCACGCATATGGAAAGAGGGAAGGAGAAAAATCCAAGGCACAGGTTTTACTAGTTTGCAACTCGCTCCAAAAATAAAATTGCTAGACTCTATTGAAAGGACACCTGGAACAACATTTCCAGTACGGTCTTTGCCTTACATTAAGAGCAGGGTTGACACAAGTGGCTTGTCCCTTGCACTGCCAGATACTGGCTGCTTTTCTTTACTGGATGCAAAACTTCAAAGCTTGAGCACTCCCACGGGCCAGCATCTTCTCTGTCCCTGCCCGCCCCCCCCCCATGGGATGGTCTCAAGCCTGATCCTTCGAGCTTGGAGCCCACACCTGCAAACCCCCTGAAATCCAACTTTTTATATGTTTCCAGCAGGGAAGCAACAACACTTTCTCCTAAACCATCCCTCTGATCCTCTTTGTTCTTTTTCTGCACTTCCCTCCCCCCCAGCCCCACCTTCTGGCTTGAAACAGCAGCACATCTGGATTGTATTTACAGATGAAATTCTTCGGCCGTACACACCGAGCCGTTCCGTGGCTAGAGAGTCTGGGACAAGGCCTGCTACAGAGAAGTTGCTTCATCGGATCCCAGCAGCTGCCAGACCGTCAATATGTATGCTCAATAGGTGAGCAATACGTCACTGGGGGATGGATTTAGGGTTTTAACGGCATCCCAGGAGAAACGTCATAGGCTGAATCAGATGCAAAGATGCCTCCCAGGCTTCCAACAGTTAGGATTCAAAAAGGCCTTTGAATCTACAGGAGAGGTTCTTAAAACTAGCTTTTCAAGTCTGTTTATGGGTCTGTTTTAAAGGAGGCTTTCATTTTAAGAAAAAATATTGTTTAGAATATTATGTTTAACCAGCATCGCTTTGGGATCTCTGGTGAGAAATAAAGAAATGGGCAGAAGTCCACAAAAGCTTGTGCCAAATGCAAACGGCTCGTCTTAAAGACGCCACGTGAGCAGAGCTCTGCCTGCATGCTCTCAGATACCCACGTTCTATACACTTCAGGTGAGGCGAAGGAGAGGAGGCCTCGTGGAGGACTATCGAAGGGGAGGCTGAGGCAAGACACCTGAGAAGGAGAAACGATCCTGGAGATGAGTTAGGAAAAGGATCTTGAAGGAGGAGGGAGAAAAAAATAGAGCGAGGAAATCTTGAGAGAAGAGGAAGGGAAGAGGGACGCTCTTCCCAATAAAGCAAACAGCCCGGCAGGAGGCAGGGAGACGAGAGAGGAGGTCCAATGACATGTTTTGCAGCAGTGGACTGGGAAGACAGGAGGAGAAAGTGTTGAAACAGGAGATCAGACAAGAGGGAGACTGGGTTTGAATCACTTCTGTCCTTATCTTTTTTATTGATATATTTTTCATGTTTAATGGCATTTGCTTTTTTTTTTCTCACTTTGTCGTTAGCTGCCTTGAATGCCTTTTTTCTTTCCTTTCTTTCTGGCAGAAAGCTGACATACCCAATGAACAAACAAGGCATCCCTACTGAACCATCTAGAGCTACAGAGCCTTTTTCTTCCCCTTCTTCCGACTAAAAGGCAGCGAGGCTACCACTCCCAGAAAGCACTGCGGCTGGAAACCCTGCAAATCCAAGGATTTAGGAACTTAATCCAGGTAAGCAAAATATAAGAAATGCCTGGAATTCCATCCTTGGGAGTTCTAGGAGAATTCTGGGAGTTGCAGTCCTTAAAAAACCCAAAAGCAAAAATGAAACTTCCCTGGAGACAGATGTTCCTCTCACCGTAGGTGGCCTTCCCAAAAACATCAACACAGTTTTGTCTGGATTCAGCTCCTACCAGTTCAGTGTCAGATCTGCTAATTATCTTCTTGTTGTTTAGTCATTAAGTCGTGTCTGACTCTTCGTGACCCCATGGACCAGAGCATGCCAGGCCCTCCTGTCTTCCACTGCCTCCCGGAGTTGGGTCCAATTCATCTTGGTCGCTTCAATGACCCTGTCCAGCCATCTCATCCTCTGTCGTCCCCCTTCTCCTCTTGCCTCCACACTTTATTTATTTATTTATTTATTTATTTATTGGACTTATATACCGCCCCATAGCGCTACAAGCACTCTCCGGGCGGTTTACAATTTTAATTATACAGGCTACACATTGCCCCCCCCAGCAAGCTGGGTACTCATTTTACCGACCTCAGTAGGATGGAAGGCTGAGTCAAAATTGAGCCGGCTACCTGGGATTTGAACCCCAGGTCGTGAGCACAGTTTTAGCTGCAGTACAGCGTTTTACCCACTGCGCCACGAGGCTCCTTTCCCAACATCAGGGTCTTTTCCAGGGAGTCTTCTCTTCTCATGAGATGGCCAAAGGATTGGAGCCTCAGCTTCAGGATCTGTCCTTCCAGTGAGCACTCCGGGTTGATTTCCTAACTAGCTAATTATATAACTAGGGTTAATCCGAACTTTTAGGGAAATCAGGGTGTACCACCTGGAACATTTCAGCCTACTGCTGCTGCCTGTTTGCTCTCTCCTTTAGCCCGAGATGTCCAGGTGGAGTTCCCCAACCATGGCGTCTCAGATTCCAGGTGTATGGATCCAACGGTGGAGGCCAGTTCATTAGGACAAAGCAGGTAACCATCCCTTTCCCAGCTGTTCGCTACCCCTGCCTCCTTCCCACTTTCCTTTTTCTTAACTTGATGATGAGGTCATTAGAAAAGAGGGCAGAAGTCACCCATTTCCTGCAACAGAGAATCAAGCCTGCAAGCCTCATGAGTCAAGGTAAGAGACTATTCTTGTCAGCCTAGCTAAATGTTAAATATTGAGGAAGGAGTAACCTTGCAAGGCAGGAAGAAGAGGTGAAATTAAGTGGCTCTGCCTGCTCCTGACCTCAGCTTCATTCCCAACAGGCAGTGGCTACCCCTGGAATCCAGTCTTAATGATCAAAGAGCACCGGGGGGGGGCAAAGATCTTTACACTAAGGTGATAGGGGGTTAGGAAAAGGCATCAGCTGACCAAAGTTATTAGCTATAGGTAATATTAGTATTAGGCATCCTTCAGTCTTGAGAGACTATGGTATCGTGCCCTGTATGGAGGACTTGGAACAGCGTCTAGTGTGGCTGAGGAGGCCAATTCGTGAGTGGCAAGCTCTTCCACACTGAAGACAAATCCAATCTGTCCCCTGTCCAGATCCCTGGTTTTGCTGCTTTTGTGACTTCCTCTTTGCCTCGGCCTGCTGGACAAGGGTCTCTTCAAATTGGGAGAGGCCATGCTACACCACTTGCCTCCAGGCTGATCGCTCAGATGTCAGAATTTCCCATTTGTGGAGGTCTATTCCTAAAGCCTTCAGATCCCGCTTGCAGATGTAGGTAATAGGTAATAAGAGTCTACAAAACCTACCTGAAAGAAGCGACGTAAGATACATGCTGGGCTCAATCTGCGTCCGATCTGTATCTCTTGGAAAATCTGCATAAGGAGAAAATAAGGCATTGGTTTTGCAACATCTAAGATAACAACAAGCAACAAGGAAGGAACGCATGGAAGTTAACCAAGCGTGTTTGCCACTCTTATCTTGGCACACTTTAAAATAAACAGCCTTTTGAACTTTGCTGAATATCCAAGGATGTGTGCTAACTATCTCCTTGACATCCCAGTGCAACTTAGCTCTGGCTGTCATAGATGAGGTACGCCTGTACTGTATCTGGACGAAGGAAAAGCTGTAGAATTCTGCCCACCAGTCATTAAAGGGTCCTGTTTCTGAGTCACAGATGATTTTTGGGTGGCTTCCCATGACAGCACCCAGGTAGCAACACATGGGCTCAAAAGATGTGAGGGACCAAGAATATAGGCATCTAAACAAGCCACCACCATGAGAAACTCCCCTTGTGCTGCAGAATTTGATCTCGTGGAAGGGAGTGCAATGTTCAGCTTGCAGAATACACAGCCTTGAAAGCTAACAATTATTTCCAGGATCCCAATTCTGCCAAATGCAGGAGGAATACAGGCAGCTCTAGCATTTGAAAAAAAAATGACCTACTTCTGACTTCCAAGAGAAACACATACCATGTTTGTAGTCATGGAAGGAATGATCTCCCCCGGTCATCATTAATCATTTGAAAAAAATAATAATAATAAAGAAAAAGAAAGAACAAGGGAAAAAATAACATAACAACACCTTCTTTTACAATCCAATAGCCAAGGGCCAGGCCAAATACATGTTTTATAAAGGACGCATGCAAATAAGGGTCAGATCTTGCTCCATTTCAACAGCATTCTGCTCCAAAGCTATTTATACAAATTCGTGTCTCAGACCTACTGCAAATATTAAAAGCTTGCTTTGTCTTGAGCTCTTTGATGTTTCACATCAACTTACTGTATCTCAGCATTTCCCTGCGTAACTCTTGCTTCCTATCACCGCACAGCCTGGGAGCTGCTTTTCCCGAGTAACTCACATGCCCAGTTTTTTTTTCCTCCCACTGGGTTTAACGCTAACATCCCTTATGGGTTTCCAACAACACTAGAGGCGATTCTACACATGGACATCACCGGACGGGCAATACCGAAATCAGACTGATTATGTTCTCTGCAGCCAAAGATGGAGAAGTTCTATACCAGTGGTTCTTCACCTTTGTTACTCGGATGTTTTTGAACTGCAACTCCCAGAAACCCCAGCCAGCACAGTTGGTGGTGAAGGCTTCTGGGAGTTGCAGTCCAAAACTCCTGAGGAACCCAAGGTTAAGAACCAGTGCTCTATACAGTCAGCAAAAAGAAGACCTGGAGCTGATTGTGGCTCTGATTATCAGCTTCTTAGAGCAAAACTGAAGCTTAAACTGAAGAAAGTAGGAAAACTACTGGGCTAGTCAGGTATTGTTGTTGTTGTTTAGTCGTTTAGTTGTGTCCGACTCTTCTTGACCCATGGACCAGAGCACGCCAAGCCCTCCTATCTTCCACTGCCTCCCAGAGTTGGGTCAAATTCATGTTGGTCGCTTCGGTGACACTGTCCAACCGTCTCATCCTCTGTCGTCCCCTTCTCCTCCTCCTCAGGGGGCAAGATGGTTGGACGCAACTTAATGAATAAACCTTATGGCCTCTCTCTCCACAGGGCTTAATGTCCCAAATAATAATAAGAATTGTGCACCGTCAAATCCATTCAGACTTAGGGTGACCCTTTTCAGAGTTTTCTTTGTAGACATTACTCAGAAGTGGTTGGCCATTCCCCTCTTCTGGGGAGGGATCCCTGGGGCCGTGCAGCTTGCCCAAGGCCACCCAGGCTGGCTTTCCTTCCAGTTGGGAACACTGAACTCCCAGCCTCTGGCTCCACAGACAGATACCCTAAACCAGTGGTTCTTAACGTGGGTGATAATGCCCCCCAGGGGGCGATTTCATTTTTCAGGGGGGCAGTAGAACGAAAAGGGGCGGCGTGGGGGCGCTGGAGAGAGTTGGGTCAAATTCATGTTGGTCGCTTCGGTGACACTGTCCAACCGTCTCATCCTCTGTCGTCCCCTTCTCCTCCTCCTCAGAGGACAAGATGGTTGGACGCAACTTAATGAATAAACCTTATGGCCTCTCTCTCCACAGGGCTTAATGTCCCAAATAATAATAAGAATTGTGCACCGCCAAATCCATTCAGACTTAGGGTGACCCTTTTCAGAGTTTTCTTTGAAGACATTACTCAGAAGTGGCTGGCCATTCCCCTCTTCTGGGGAGGGATCCCTGGGGCCGTGCAGCTTGCCCAAGGCCACCCAGGCTGGCTCTTCTTCCAGTTGGGAACATTGAACTCCCGGCCTCTGGCTCCACAGACAGATACCTAAACCACTGAGCTATTTAGCCTGGCAATTCTTGCATTATTATATGTATTTACAGAGTATGCGTGGTAGTTCCCAGCACCAAAGATGTTCCAACTGAAAATGTATTACAGGGGAAGCAACCAAGGGAGGAATATGGTGGGCTAGGTGGCCTTGTTTCTAGCACCAAAACCAACCAGGAACTGCCATGATTGAAGCAAAGGTCTTCCGAAGCTGGTTTGTATTCTCTGGGAGTCTGCTTCCCGACAGTCTTACAGGGCATGAACATTACTTCCATGTCTAATACTCTGCTGGTCTCCTTCTCTCATTGCTTTGAACCCTCTCGCCCCACTGATGTCATACGAGTTCTCCTAGAGTGAGTGTAAGATGGTTTTCAAAACCAGGGGCAGAAAGGCGTCTTGGAATACGAGGCATCTCGTAAGCACACGCGAAGGCCAAGAAGCATTTATGATAACGTAAGGAATGCAATAGTGTGAAAAAGTCCGCAGCTCAGCTGCTTTTACAGCAGACTGCCCAGGAGACCGTCTACCAGGCTCAAAGCCAGCACTTCCAAAATGACTCACAAGCATGATTCAGGGCAGACCTGCCAGTAAGTGAGGAATGTGCTGTTCTCCTTGGGGGTGATGCCGCACTGAGCTGAGCATGAGGAGGGGGGAGGTTTTCAAGTAGAGGAAGGGTCTGCTTAGGGTTTAACAGCTGAAGGAACAGGAAGCAGCAAGCAGGGGGGGAAACATATGGTTCCTTGCAGAAAGCAATGTAGTCTCTCAAAGATGTGTACAAGCTATTTAATTAGTAAGTGATCAAGAGCAAGGGAAGATCATTGAAGTATTCGAGGTGAGAATTCTGGTAGACCAGGGGTTCCCAACCTTGGGTCACCCAGTCGGTTCTTGGACTGCAGCTCCCAGAAGCCTTCACTGCCAGCTTTGCTGGCTGGGGTTTCTGGGTTGCAGTCCAAGAACACCTGGGTTAACCAAGGTTGGGAACCACTGCGGTACACTATAAGGAAATCCCAATGGAGGCATTAGAGAAGACTGAATGGTGTCAGATATGTAAGGCAGTGTCTTTTCTCCTTATGTCTCAGTAGAACTAGACTTACCCCAAGATGGTAAATGATCACTAGATTCAAGACAAGTTACTCATGCTCTCCTTTGCCAAGAATGTGTATTTGTGCAGAGTCTTGGCAACTGGACTATAAGAGAAAATGCTCTCTGGATATTTTGACCCCATTTCATAGGATCTTGAAATTCTCTTTACTTGTTCTTATCTCCATCCAGCATCCTTGAGGGTCATGGGAGTTCTCATCCAAGTCCTCTGATAGAATAGCGACTTTGGAAGGGGCCAATAAGGCCATTGAGTCCAACCCCCTGCTCAATGCAGGAATACACATCAAAGGACATCTGCCAGGTGATTGTCTATATCTTTCTTGAAATTCTCTTTACTTGCTTTTATCTCCATCCAGCATCCTTGAAGGTCATGGGAGTTCTCATCCAAGTCCTCTGGGGGTTCTAGGTTGGAGAAGAGCGGGCTAAGGTAAAACACTTCCAACAAGTAAGAAATGTGGTGGTGTTGTTGTTTAGTCATTAAGTCGTGTCCGACTCTTCGTGACCCCATGGACGAGAGCACGCCAGGCCCTCCTGTCTTCCACTGCCTCCCAGAGTTGGGTCAAATTCATGTTGGTCGCTTCGGTGACACTGTCCAACTATCTCATCCTCTGTCGTCCCCTTTTCCTCTTGCCTTTATACTTTCCTAACATCAGGGTCTTTTCCAGGGAGTGACTCTAACACACACATTCATACACATGGTGGATGCTATGACTTTAAGCTTTTTCGTCGTCGTTTAGTCGTATCCGACTCTTCGTGACCCCATGGACCGCAGCATGCCAGGCCTTCCTATATTCCCCTGCCTCCCGGAGTTGGGTCAAAGTCATGTTGGTCGCTTTGATGACACTGTCCATCCATCTCGTCCTCTGTCGTCCCCTTCTCGTCCTCTGTCGTCTCTGAGTGGTAGAATATACCAGATGGGCGGGATATAAATCAAATAAATAAATAAATCAAATTCTCCTCTTGCCTTCACACCTTCCCAACATCAGGGTGTTTTGCAGGGAGTCTTCTCTTCTCATGAGATGGCCAAAGTATTGGAGCCTCAGCTTCAGGATCTGTCCTTCCAGTCAGCACTCAGGGTTGATTTCCTTCAAAATGGATAGGTTTGTTCTCTTTGCAGTCCAGGGGAAATGTGATAGTACCCACCTAACCCAGGGCGAGCTTTCTGAAGGAAGGAAAATAGCTGAAACCCTCTCATACGAGCTCTGCTTTTGCAGTGTGGGAATAACATGGCTGGCAGTGTCAAACAGCTGACGATCAAAGGCTTCCTTTTGGGGATTTGGGCTGTACGTAGCTTGCATGCCATTTGACAAAAGCAAGCGCATCCCCAAAAATCACAGAAAGTAGCCTTGGATCCCTGGTGATCTTGTGCTGCAGGAGATGTCACCCCTGCTGGTTTACCCCAACCAACGAGATTCTGGCCACTGGGGTGATGACGTCTTGTAGACATGTTCTTCTGTCTGCGTAAACATTGGGAAAGAGGGGCTGCCTCTCTATCAATCAAGAGCCAAGATGCATTTTGACCCACTTCAGTTAATATTTTTGCTAATTTTGGGACTGGATCGTGCCCGATTCTGACTCCACCCTGGCCCACTTGGCCAGTACTGTCCTTCCATCTTTGCCATGGACGTTCTGCACAAACACAGACCCACCCCTTTTAACTGGCCCATCATTTCCAATGCTGGTTCTCCGGGAGGGACAGATGCCTTCCTCCCCAAAGGACTGTGGGTTGAGGAGCCCTTCACTTCCCATCCTCCAGCCCACACCAGAAAAAAAAGAGAGAGAAGAGACCACCCTATCATTAAGGGATTGCTCAACGGATCAACGGCTTTGAATTCTGCTCGTCAGCCAAAAACCCAATCCCACTGTGGCTTACAGATACTAAAAATAAAAGGAGTCTCCCATCCTTAGGCTTTCACTCTAGAGGGTGGGACACACAAAAAAAAGAAAAGAAAAAGCTAAGGAGGAACAAGGAAAGGGAATGCAAAGGTGGATACTATTGCTTAGTTATTTTAGGGACAGCAACTGCAAGAGATCTCTGCGTGGGTTTTACAGCCCCTATTCCAGTGACAAATTTTTCCAACCTGCTGAGGAGGACAAGCTTTGGAAAGAGGAATGCTGGTGCAATTACACTGAGCCGTCTTTCCACTTTCCCATCACAGGGAGAGGGCCATCTCTGCTGCTCCTCCCAGACGTTGGAACTCCCTCCCACAAGAGGCCCAGATGGACCCATCTTTACTGGCTTTCTGCAAGCAGGCAATAACCTTTCTCTGTAGGTAAGCTTTCCCTTTGTGACTGGCTGCCTGAGTGGGGTTTTGAACTGGAGTGAACAGTGAGCTGTTCTCCCTATGGAAATGATGTGCTTCCCACCTGGCCTCATCCTCTCCAGCCCAAGAGGGCGAGGCCAGGTGGAAGCACATCCTTGGGGCCACTCCGGAGGCTTGCAGAGGCGCCCGGCACCAACCTTTCTCTGTAGGTAAGCTTTCCCTTCGTGACTGGCTGCCTGAGTGGGGTTTTGAACTGGAGTGAACAGTGAGCTGTTCTCCCTATGGAAATGATGTGCTTTCCACCTGGCCTCATCCTCTCCAGCCCAAGAGGGCGAGGCCAGGTGGAAGCACATCCTTGGGGCCACTCCGGAGGCTTGCAGAGGCGCCCGGCACTACCGGCATCTGGCCCTCAACATCCTGCCCCTCTCATTGTATGTGCAAAAACAGCGATCCTTCCTTGGTCTCTAGCACTGGTTGTTAAACGCTTCCTGACTTCAGAGATGCCTTCTCTTTTGACCTGAAAGGTGACGGGCTCCTCATTTGTTCATGTTATCTCTCGTCTGCCACAACCACTCTACAAGTGGCACGGCATCAGGGGCCGGCTCCAAGATACACACTCCCTTCTGGCTCCCGTAAGTCTCCCTGCAAGGGCCGAGAGCACACGGCAGAACACACACCCTTCCTTTCAGGCACCCCGTTCAAATGGATGCCACCCGTGAGCAGGGCATATTGTTTCGGACAAGCACCTCCCCTTACATTACAAGCCCCCCTTGGGAAGTGCCTCCTCACACTATGCCCGGTCAAACTGTGGAATCTATGACTGGACAACACAGTGAACTGGCTTTGAATTGGGAACCAAGATATGAAAGAGAAGGGTGAGGCAAAACTCCCAATAGGTTGGGCATCTCCAAGGTTGTTGTTGTTTAGTCGTTCAGTTGTGACTGACTCTTCGTGAGCCCATGGACCGTTACTTTCAGTCTCGAGACCAAGGTTGTTGTTGTTTAGTCGTTCAGCTGTGACTGACTCTTCGTGAGCCCATGGACCAGAGCACGCCAGGCCCTTCCGTCTTCCACTGCCTCCCGGAGTTGGGTCAAATTCATGCTGGTCGCTTCGATGACACTGTCCAACCATCTCGTCCTCTGTCGTCCCCTTCTCCTCTTTCCCTCACACTTTCCCAACATCAGGGTCTTTTCCAGGGAGTCTTCTCTTCTCATGAGATGGCCAAAGGACTGGAGCCTCAGCTTCAGGATCTGTCCTTCCAGCGAGCACTCAGGGTTGATTTCCTTCAAAATGGATAGGTTTGATCTCCTTGCAGTCCAGGGGACTCTCAAGAGAAGAAGACCGAGTAGAAAGCCCCATCCCGCCCCATCACTGGACTGTTCAGAGCAGGTTGACACAGGCGGTTCAAACAACGCCTTGTCTTGCAAAATTGCACTCTGAAATCCCCCTCCTTCCTTGTTTTCCACCAGCAAAAACATCCTCCGCTTGCAAAGCAAAACAGTGAACCTTGAACTCAAAAATACTTGAGCACAGGGAGAATCCATGATTGTTTAGAAACCACTTCCCACACCCTCTCTCTGGCTCTGGAAAGGAAGCTTTCATCTTTTATTACAACTATTGGTAACTTATGTTCAACAATGTTTTATATAAGAAAGCTATATAAGGGAAGGCTAGGAAGATAAACAGGAACAAAAGACGATTACACTGGGATAAACTGTTTCTGTTTTAGTGAAAGGAGATAGCCGTGAAGCGAACACATACTGCCCGGGCTTGAGTTGAAAGGAGGCAGACAAGAAGAAAAAAAGTGCTTTAACTTCCATCCCGTCTCTTTCATCCGCAGCCCAAACCAGCCTCCCTCGGAGACCGGCCCAGATTCCTCGCAAGAACGCCGGGCCTGGGAATCAAAAGAGCCAAGGAAAGAGCGTGTCTCTCTTCGCCTGCTCGCTCCTCCGCCCGCCCCAATTTTTGCACGGAATTAACTGCCAGAGCTACAGGCCTCCACTGTGCTGGCATAGGAATTCTTCCTTTTGTTTGGGACTTAACATAAATCCTTGATTTATCCAGAGGAGCCTTGTACAGAGCAATCTTGTGAGTGAAAATTAAAGGATTAAGAGCATCCCCCCCAGATTCTGAAAACAAAAAAATACACAACCACCACCCTGTTCTGTGGCTTCATTTCGTTTTGTTTCCTTTCTTGGATGTCGCCACTGGCCTAATTTTTTTTTGCTTGTGCTTTTGTTAATGCTTCCTGTTATGTTGATTGTTTGGTGGTGGGGTGGGGTTCGCTTGTTTTATTATGTACGCCACCCAGAGTAGCCTTTGCCACTAATTGGGCAGTACAGAAATAAATA